ACTCTACCCTGTGGCCACACCTCTGTCCATCTCTGAACCCTTGCAAAACCATGAATAGGGTCTGGACCTGAGTCTGAAACAGCTCCCCATTAATCTAACCCCTTTATATGGTTGTAGTCTAGCCAGGGGGAGGTGAATACACTGGGGTCACTGTAGACAAGTGCTTTTTGTCTCAGTTTTTCACATTCGTCTTTTATGGCCCAGCTCAATGTCACATCATTGGGGAAGCTTCCCTCAATTCCTACAGTCAGGATTCTGACTTCACCAACTGCTCACTGTAGGATGTTAGACAAGTTCCTTTCCTTTGACTACTTCGTTTCCTCATCTGTAAAATGGAGATAGTATAGTTCAGCTAACCTTTCAAGACGTTGGGAAGATCCATTATGGGCCAATATATGTAAAAACTTAGTGCCCCACCCTTTCCCCTCCTTGCTAGATACAGATAATGTGGAAGAAACTAAGTGAGATGATTATGCAGGTGTCTACAAAGTCTATAAAAATCAAGTCCTTCCCTGTAGTAATTGTTTCCTCCTTCTCTATCTTTGGATATCTTATTCAACCTTTGAGGGACAGCTTGAATGCCATTTCTTTTGCAAAATATCCTTGCTGCCTCCAAGGAAAACATATTTTTCCCCCTTGTGCCTTATAATTTTTTATGCCTTTGTGCCTTATCATTTTTAAATTTCCTTTTAATTTTTATTATATTTAACTTATTATTGACTGGTCCCTTGCTGTGTTGGTTAATTGCTTGTGGTAACCTCAGAGTGTCTGACATGATAATTGGCATCTACGGTTTGTTCCATAAATGTTGTTAACTCAACTTTAGGTTGATTTCCTGAATTCTGGAGTAGACACTGGCAGCAAATTTGACCTTTACAAGCCTGTTGTATATTTTAGGTCCTGTCTCTGATGCTAGTTTATTTGGAACCAATCATCGAATCCATAGTCTAGTGCATAGAGCCAGTGGAGTGAGGGCTCTTCCATACTTTGCCAAGGGGAGGTGAGAGTGTGATGGCCTCACATTTCTATAAGAGCTCACCTTTATACAGTGAAGGTAATGAGACATTTCTTAAGGGCTAAAAGACCTCATCAGGAAACTGGTTTCTGGAAGAGCAAAATTGTGTATTTTTGTGTGACACTGGGTTTGGTTCACCTCTGCAGTTGAAGTGTTAGTTTGTCATACATTCAATGACTCTGTTTTCTTTGTAAAAATTTAAAAACACATGTATAGAATATGACTCTACATATATTAGTCTTTTCTTATTTCTACAACAATTACTGAAGGGAACAGACAATAACATCTATCTAGTTCCAATGTTATGCCAGGTACTTAATTCCTATCATCTCATTCTACTCTCATAGTCATTATTTGAGGTAGGTAGAATTATTATTATTATTTTTTTTTGGAGAGGTTTTTACTATAGGGTGTCTGCGCTCGCCAGACATACAGAGAGAGACAGAGAGACAGAAAGCAGGAAATCACCCCCCAGGGGGATGGCCACACCACAATCCCTTCTACATTCTCCTCTCGGGAGAGCACATGCGCCCGGCATGAGTTTAAGCCACCGGGTCCGGACTCGAACTGCAGTCGACTATGTGGGAGTCCAGCGACATAGTCATTGACCTTTACAAGCCTGTTGTATATTTTAGGTCCTGTCTCTGATGCTAGTTTATTTGGAACCAATCATCGAATCCATAGTCTAGTGCATAGAGCCAGTGGAGTGAGGGCTCTTCCATACTTTGCCAAGGGGAGGTGAGAGTGTGATGGCCTCACATTTCTATAAGAGCTCACCTTTATACAGTGAAGGTAATGAGACATTTCTTAAGGGCTAAAAGACCTCATCAGGAAACTGGTTTCTGGAAGAGCAAAATTGTGTATTTTTGTGTGACACTGGGTTTGGTTCACCTCTGCAGTTGAAGTGTTAGTTTGTCATACATTCAATGACTCTGTTTTCTTTGTAAAAATTTAAAAACACATGTATAGAATATGACTCTACATATATTAGTCTTTTCTTATTTCTACAACAATTACTGAAGGGAACAGACAATAACATCTATCTAGTTCCAATGTTATGCCAGGTACTTAATTCCTATCATCTCATTCTACTCTCATAGTCATTATTTGAGGTAGGTAGAATTATTATTATTATTTTTTTTTGGAGAGGTTTTTACTATAGGGTGTCTGCGCTCGCCAGACATACAGAGAGAGACAGAGAGACAGAAAGCAGGAAATCACCCCCCAGGGGGATGGCCACACCACAATCCCTTCTACATTCTCCTCTCGGGAGAGCACATGCGCCCGGCATGAGTTTAAGCCACCGGGTCCGGACTCGAACTGCAGTCGACTATGTGGGAGTCCAGCGACATAGTCATTACACTAACTGCTGGTCCCAGAGGTAGGTAGAATTATTACCTTTGTTTCATTAATGTGGAAATTAAGGTTGACAGAGGATAAGCAGCTTGCCGAGGGATAGGGAGATTAAAATTCAGGACTGACTGCAAAGACCTAGCTCTTCAAGGCGAATGAATGCACAGGCCACTTTTACATCTGAGTGATAATTAATTGGCAGGTACTGTTCTGGAATACACAAATGGATGCAACATGCTTCCTGCCCCTCAAGAAGTTTGTATTCTATTATAATAGGGAAGGGTGTTATACAAATAAATAGAAACATAAGATGAAAAAGAAACTATGGGATAGAAATATGTGTAATGGATTGTGGGGGAGGTTGAGAAGGAAGTAAGCCATTCAGCCTGAGGGGATCAGAGAGGAATCCACAGAGGAGTTGCTCCTCAAGGTGGGCCTTGAAGGATAACTGCATTGTGATGGCTGGAGAGTGAGGTAAAGGGAGAATGTAGGAATTTGAGGAAGTTGAGACCATATGTGCAAAGGCATGAAGAAGAAGGGCTGGTGTTTGGGGGCATGGAGAAGAAATCAATATAACTAGAATATTGGGTTTTGGAGCTGGGCTCTGACAGGCCTAGCTGTGTCAAAGCACTGGACTTGATTCTTTAAGACCTTGGGCTGCCTCAGAGGAGAGAAATGACATGAGCTGACCTATGTAGGAGGAAGGACCTGAAGGACCATTTCTGAGTAGGAACTGAGTAGGAATAGAGCTGAGCATCCTTCAGAAAGGTACCATCAGCTCCCAGTGACTCTGGCACTATTGGTTTCAGGGATGAGAATAAGTTGAAAGGAGCTGGTCAAATTCAAAAACTTCTATGAGCCAGGTGCCACGTTCTACCATAGGACTGCAAAAGCTTGGCTGTTCTGAGAGATGAGAATGTGTCTGCTACAGGAACTGAACATCCCCATCACAATGAAATTTGTGACTCTATCCTTTGCCAGTGGTAACAGTGGGTTCCAGAAGTCAGAGACTGGCATCAGGGACTCCCTATAATCAACTTGTAAAAATCAGGCTTCCAAGCTAGAAGGCTTCCAAATTAACAAAACCATATAACACATGATTTATAAACGCTGCCTCACAAATTATATATGTCTTGGTCCATTTTTGGACTTAGACATATACAATTAGCATTGCTAACATAAAGACTTGGAATTTGTAAAGAAATAGGGTTTATTAACTTGCAGTCTTGTGGTTAAAAGTCCAAAGACATAGGTCTAGCACCAGGCTAGCCTATGACGTAGCTGACAGAAATAGAGAGGATAATAGGCATATTCAGAGAGAGAGAGAGAGACAGAGATCAGGATGCTTTCTCTTCAATACAACCAGCTCTTACTAGAACTAACCTCTTCTCATGGTCCAAAACTCATTGGATTTTACAAAACACCATTAATCTGTTCATGAGACTTTTACCTTCATGATGCAACCACCTTGGACCAATCACCACCCACTAGGCCTCTCACCTCTCAACATCAAATTTAAAAATATGAAACTTTGGGGAACCAGCAGTTAGCGTAATGGCTATGTCACTGGACTCCCACGTAGTCGACTGTGGTTCACATCCCGGACCCAGTGGCTTAAATCTCACGCCGGGCGCATGTGTGTGCGTGCCCAAGATCCCGAGAGGAGAATGGAGGAGAAGGGATTGCGGCGTGACCATCCCCCCTGGGGGGTGATTTCTCGCTTTCTGTCTCTATGTCTCTCTCTGTCTGTCTGGCGAGCGCACGCGCCCTATAGCAAAAACCTCTCCCCCCCAAAAAAAAATTAAAAAAAAATATGAAACTTTGGGGGACAAACCATGGCCCAAACCATAACTGTATATAAATGTAAATTCCACATCTGTGGACAGCATTTACATATGGACATATTCCAGCACAGACTAAGACGGTATTCCGTCACATGTAACAAACCTAGGCAATTCTTTTATCATCAGTGGTAGAAATGAGTATTTGTAATGATCAGGTACCTGGTCCTGAGGACTTGAGAACATCTGCCATTTTCCCTCTTTAAAAAGACATTTATTTGAACTAATCATAAAACAAGGGATTTCTTTAGAAAAAAGCCCCTAAATTCTTTGTCTCCAAAAAACAAAACAAAACCACAGTGCCTTTCTCCCCCTCAATAGAATGGTACTTTAATGGAATCTGAGTCAAGCCCAAAGGAAGGTCTACTAGTTCCTTGTGACAGCAATAGAATTCAGTCTTTGGTGTCCAATACTGCCATATTCACTGGCCTGAATTGGCAGGAGTGCTATCTGCACTTTGGAGATGATGAGCAAAGTGGGGAGAGGGTAACGTGATAGGTAGATTATGAGAGAAAAAACAATATGAACCTCCTTCCTGGCCACTTGAACAATATTGGTTATCTGGAGGTGGAGATGATCTGATATTTGCTTGCTAACTGCTGTCTCAGCTCATTTCTCTGCTGATGGAGTCATTTTCCTAAACAACTGCCTTAAAATTAAATGTCTGGTTGCTGGACTACTGACCTAATCAGGACTTAGCTTGCATAGTCCCAGCAAGTAAAGGCAGGAGAAAGAATGTCTTCCCCTGTGTGAAGTACCCTGTCCCTTGGCCCTCACTCCACAGAGCTCACCGGGGCCTGCGAAAGGTCAGGCCGTAGTGCTGACAGGCCAGTCCCACAGTGGGCGTGTACACGATCGGCATGAACTTCTCCACGTCCGAGGTCAGCACTCGGTAGAAGAGTTTCTCATTCCGGTCTTGCAGTGTCATGAGAATGATGTACCTTGGAAAGGAAGAGAAGAGACAAGTCTGTTACATGAGTGTCATAGGTGGCAGAAGGACAGATTGTTGTGTGTAGAAAGGGCCAAGATCACTTGGTGTGTGGAAAGACCCAGGGAAGTATGGCACATTCACTCACAGATCACTCATCTGACATGAGCCCAGGTTTCAACATCTATAAATGTTGACAGTATGATCTGCTTTATGGTGCTTGTTATAGTACCTGGTATAGGTACTGTTTTTAGTATTTCACATGAATGCATTTAAAACTTTCAATGAAGTGCGCCAGATACTATAATTCTTGCTGTCTTGAGACAAGGAGGCTACTGTACAGAGAAACGAATTCACTCAGCGACTCATGTGATTTGAATCTAATCAGAATGACTCTAGAATCTATGCTCTCAACCACTGCACAAGGTAGTTATGCTATATTATGGACGTTAATAAATGATAGTAAAATAATATTCAAGGGGTAGAGTAGGTTGAAGGTGATCTAAGAACAGGTTTTTCCTACCACACTGGGCTGATTCCTGGCATAGACTAAGTTAACCTGTGACCAAGTGGCAGATAATTTCAGGAGGCATATTCCAGAAACAATCTAACTTATGCCCTGAAACCCAAATCACTAAGGAAAAGAACTTCCCATTCACACTACTAAAAATGTGGAAACCTCTGGGGGGGGGGACAGAAAAACAACAACAACAACAACAACAATAACAACAACAAACAGGGATTGAAAGTCACAGTGAGGTGTGACTGTTGATATCACAAGCTTTCTGGTTAACCATTTGGAAGAGAATACAGAGGTTCTTGAAGCCCCGGAGTGGGATGGGGTGAGAGAGAGATTTCAACAGTGCAAAAGAATAGTGCTGTGGTGGAATGATCCCTAGGCATCAGGGACCTCAGTTTGAAACCCACTTTAGGCATTTACTAGTTGTGTGACCTTAGGGAAATCTTGTGACCTCTTGGGACCTTTGGGAACCTCAGCCTCTTCCACTAATGGCACTAGTCCATAACTAAAAAACGTGTGCAGGAATAATCAAGACCTCAACTCATTGCCAGCAAGAAGATTTCCTTACCCAGTGGCTGTGTGTGTACATTTCTTCCCAGTTCTACATTTGATTATGTCAAACTGGTAACCTGAAATTGGCCATGCATGGCAGGAGTATTTACACTATGGAAAATAACGAATGCCATAAATCTTCTTTCTACAATAGAGCTGGTTATTAAACATTTACCAGTATGCTACTGCCCATACTCAGGAAATGAGGGAGCCATCTTATCATTTCCCCCAAGTAACTGATGAAATGAGAGACTCCCAGGAATGAGTGGAGTCAGAGTGAGCCCTCTCGAGCTCCAAGTAATGGGCATACTCTTCTTTCCCAAATCTGGAATATCTTTCTGCATATACGTGTGAGGTCCATCAAGCTGGAAAGAACTGGGGAGGGAAGGATTTTGGACTTTAACTCTTAGAGTTTATTTAACAAACTCTTACATGGTGCCTACAATCTGTCAGACACTATTCTAAGCACATCATAAATACTGATGCATCTAATTTTCATACTAATTTTATGAGTCAGGCACCTTTAAAATACTATTGTATGGGGGATAGTGTGGTGGTTAAGGCATTGGATTCCCACATGGCTGATGTGGTTTGAATCCCAGACCTGGCAACTTGAAAATCATGCTGGATACATGTGCTGTGTGCCCCAAATCCTAAGAGAAAAGGGATGGTGGCATGGCCATCCCTGCTAGGAGGTGATTTCTCACTTTCCCTCTCTGTCTCTCTCTGGCAAGCACAAGTGCCCTATGGGAAAAGCCTTCAAACAAACAAATAAACAAACCAAAAAGCAACAACCCACTATTGTACCCGGGCCAGATGGTGACACAGTGATAAAATACCTGTTGTACAGATGGAGAATGAGCCTGACAGCCTAAGTGATTTTTACAATAAGTGGTAGGGTACAAGTTTGAACTCATTCTAGTACTAGAGTAGCCAGTACTCTGCCACCTCTTAGTTGTGGCATATCAGAGAAGTTAAAAGCACAGACTCTGGGACCATCTATCTGGTTCAAATTCTGGCTGTGCCAATTCATAGCCTGGGAGGTCATTGCCTTCTTGAATAAAACAGAGTGCTGGCCCTGTGATTCCCCATGTGGCTCTTTGTGTCTACATCACCACTGGAGAGAACTCAGAGAAGAGGCAGGGTTATAAATGGCTGCCCATAACCTTTAACATATGACAGCTAGGTTCTTCACAGGATGTCTCCTGTCCATTTATCTGTCTCTCACTGCTATCTCTTATTCCAGAGACCTGGGTTATGTACCACTTCTTCATCACAACTGTCTCTACATCTTTGTTCTGCCTCATCTCTCAGTGAAAGAACCTCACTGCTGTCTGCTAAAGTCTTATTCATACTTCTTGGGCTGACTCAGCACCTGTCAATTCTGAGACACCCTCTCAGATTTCACTGGTTGGAATTGAGTTTCTCTTCCCAGTTCTGTGACATGCTGACTATGCCTCAGTCATATCAAGCCTGTCTCTTAGGCTTGATCATCTCTCAGGGGTCTCAACTTTTCTTAGTTGGAGAGTTGTCAGAAAATTCCCTGTGAACCATGAGAAACAGACAGAGCAAACCAGGGATCAGGCGGAGATTGCAGACGGAGGCACTGACTTGTCAAGGTCACTCTGCTGTCGCTCATAGTATCTCATGATCCGGAGGAGCTGGACGTCCTGGCTCAGGAAGCAAGGGGGGATTAGGCCATGGATGCCAAGCTGCAACCTTTCTTCAAGTGTGAAAGCCATTCCCTGGGAGAATAAGAAAGAAACACATGCACATAAATGGCTGTGCAGGAAACCATGGAACAGGACGGATCCCATCAACAAATAGAAAAAGTCAGCGTGACTTAGGACAAAGAGCCCTGGATTCAAATCCAGGTTCTGCCATTTCAGTAAGGGGGCAATCTTTGACCTTCCTGAGCTTCAGTTTCCTCACTGAAAAAAAGAGGAAAATAATCATTATTTTGTTGTTGTTATTTTAAAAGTATATTTTAATTATTAGAAGAGTTTTAGATTTACAGAAAAATTGATGAGATAATAATAGTGCAGAGAGTTCCTCTATATCTCCTCTCCCAGATTTCCCAATTACTGTCTTATATTAGTATGCTATGTTTGTTAGAATTAATGAGCCAACAGCAATCTAGTATTATTAACTGAAGTCTGTAGTTTATGTGGTTTTCCTTAGTTTTTACCCTGTGTTTTCTCTCTCTCTCTCTCTTTTTTTTTTTTTTTTTTGTTCCAAGATCTCACTCCAGGTCCCGTATTACATTTAGTTGTCATATTTCCTCTTGCCTCTCACAGTTTCTCAGACTTCCCTTGAGTTTAATGACCTTCACAGCTTGGAACACTGGTCAGATATCTTGTGTGAGAGCTATCCTTCTTTAGAATCTGTCTGATGTCTTTCTCATGATTACCCTGGGGATGTGGGTTTTGGGGAGGAAGACCATGGAGGTAAAGTGCCATTTTTATCACATCAGATTAATGGTACCCATAATAAACTAAACATTGTTGATGTAGACCTCAATCATCTGGGTAAATGATGGGGGATGGCTATGCCACGATCCCTTCTCCTCCATTCTCCTCTTGGGATTTGACAGGCTTCTCCACTATAAAGTTACTCCTGTCCCGGGATTCTTCTGCTAGTTTTATTTACCTGTTGAAGGATTTCTTGGTTGCTTCCAGTTTGGGGTGGTGGTTATAAATAAAGTTGCTTTAACCATCCCATGTAGACTTTTTGTGGACATACATTTTTAGATAAGTTGGGTAAATGAGTAGAATACAATCACTGGATCATATGGTAAGACTATGTTAACTTTTTAAAATAAATAAATAAATAGACACCTGCCAAATCATTCTTTCTTTTTCCCTTTTTATTTTTAAGAGAAATTTTTGCTATAAAGGTGTGTGTGCCCACCAGGGAGACAGGAAACAAGAAATCACCCCCCAGGGGGGATGGCCATGCCATGATCCCTTCTCTCCCATTCTCCTCTTGGGATTTTGGGCACACATGCAACCCAGCATGAGTTTCAAGCTGCAGGGTCCAAGTCTCGAAATGTGGTTACCTATGTGGAAGTCCAGTGACGTAACCATTATGCCATCTGCTGGTCCCAACTGCCAAACCGTTTTCTAAATGATTGTACCATTTTAAATTCCTACAGGCAATGAGTGAGAATGTGTGTGGCTCTGCAGTCTCTCCTGCAATCATTATTGTCCGTTTATTAGATTTTAGTTGTTCTAATGGGTGGGTAGTGGTATACCATTGTTTCAATTTGCAATTCCCTATGGACATATGTTGCTGAACATCTTTTCATATGGTTATTTTCCTCTGATATGTCTTCTTTGGTAAGGTTCAGATATTTTACCCATTTTAAAATGTATTTTTCCCCCTGTTGTTGAATTTTAAGAGTTCTTTAACCTGCAATTTCAATGCAATCATTATCAAAAACCTAATGACATCTTGTTTTGTTTTGGCTTAAATAGAAAAACTGATTCTCAAGTTTACCCCAAGAGATAAAGTACAACACAAGATGTGAAACCGAGACCTTTTCTGTGTAGAATTCAGAGTGGCCTTGCCGAGTGAGAACTGCCAGGCACTGCTTAAGGGCTCCTAGATACATTTCCTCAGTTTTCACAGTGCAGCTCTGGCCACAGAGAAAGTGTTGAGCCTCCAGTGGTTCCATGGGTGGCAGACATCAATGAACAAGAACAAGAATCCCCATGGGCTGGTGCAGGGAGCTAAGAATTATTTTAAATTAATTAATTCATTCTGTTAATGATACATTCAAGGCTGGTGGTATCTAGGGCAACTGTGGTAAAACCTCTATTTGTAATAATGTCCCCCCACACAAGGTTCTTCCTGAAAGTGAAGAGGGCTGTGTGAGTGATATGTGAGACCTCCATTATATGTTAGCAGACTAGCTTCTCCCAGAGTCCCCTGGGAAGGGAAAATTTGCAAATGTAGGGATCCTCAGAGTGCCCTCATTCTTCTACCAGTTAAAAACTGTCTCATCTATAATTATCCCAAGCTCTTTCATAAGGGATTAGTAATCACAGGGAGATTTGAACCCATTTATTGATCATTAACACCTCAGAGTTGTTGCTATCATCAGCTCTAAAGAGGCTCTAATGAATATCCTGTCTGACTCTGAACATTCCTTTCAACCACCTTCGAGAGAAGTTTTACAATCCCCACTTTGCAGAGGAGAAGGGTAAGCAGGAGAGGTTACATAATACTCCTGAAGTCACATAGCTACTGCCTCACATTGTATTGCTACTTAAATCAGTATGTATCTGATAATCAGGAAGTACATTTGATGTGATCCTTTTTCCCTGATGATTTTTTTATTAGAGATAATTGACAGAATCAAGATTTGATCACAGGTTGCATTCCTTCCATTCTAGTATATATCCTCCAAGGACTGAGGTGAGATGCCTCTCAGAAAATGATGGAGGTGGAGAGGTGAGGAAGGGGCAAAAAAAGAAGTGAAATAGAGAAAAAAATTGTCCCACCTCACAGAAGAACTGCTGGGGTTGTAGGAAGGATCTATCTTAAGATAGGCTCTATTCTGTTTGAGACTATGACTCACAGAGATTTCTCAAAGCATTCAATATATAAAGTTCCCAGATTTTTTTCATCAAAGCCCAAAGTCACCAGTTCATAAATCCCTGTGTCAGTCACCAGGTTTGCAAACTTGGAGCAGCACTCAGGGCCCAGTGCCTTGTGCAGGAAACCACCTCACCCCGGAGACTGGGCATTTCTGCCAAGCACTACTAGGCAGGCGGCTGTTCGCTGACTTGATAAAGACTGTGATCACCTCTCCTGGGGATCGCGGGGAGGCCCAGGCATTTAACTATGACATCATCTTTGCTAATGACCACTGTGGCTTTTAATAACAGTCCACTTCACTCTAGAAGGCTGTTTCTTTTGGCTGACTGCCACCAACTTTTGTATTTGAGGAAAATGTAAGACCATTTAGCAACTGGTAATTTCAGGGATTTAAAAAAAATTACTTCTAGAAGTTTCTTTTCATCCTGAAGCTAATGTTAAGGTAACCTTGGATTTACAAGTTTGCAGAGCAGACATATAGGCTCATTAGTTTCATGATGGCCTCCAAAATAGGATAGGCACAGATGATTCACTAGGGTGGAGAAGACAAATAATAGAATTTATATTTCTCTGCAGAGGAAATAAACTATGCTGATTAGCACTTAGGTTCTTGGTCTGTGTGTCAAAAAGTCACAGTTCCCATAAAGTTACCAGGAACCCTAAGATGAGAGTAGGCATTGTACAAGACAGAGGAGTTGACATGAGGGCCCTTATTCATTCTTAGTGCACTGAAAAGTTATAGCTTCAGTCTGCCTAGTAAAAAATTAAAGATCATGTTATCTTGTTTTTTTTTTTTTTTGGAGAGGTTTTTGCTATAGGGCACATGCGCTCGCCAGATAGACAGAGACAGACATAGAGACAGAAAGCGAGAAATCACCCCCCGGGGAGATGGTCATGCCACAATCCCTTCTCCTCCATTCTCCTCTCAGGATCTTGGGCATGCACTCACACGCACCTGGTGTGAGTTTTAAGCCACCGGGTCCAGGATGTGAACCGTGGTCGACTACATGGGAGTCCAGTGACATAGCCATTATGCTAACTGCTGGTTCCCATGTTATTTTGTTTTTAAAAAAAACCTCCAAAATTCAGACAAGTGGCTTTTGAAAACCTGACTGACTCTCGTAGTTGTATTTCAATCTTATATCCTCATGCTGTTCTTCTAGGGCATACCAGTAGGCACCTATCACTTGTTACTAGGTGGAAAATCTTCAGCTGTTACAAAGCCACTGCCCTGACTTCTCCCAGCCAGGTGTACCTCCTCAACTGTTCTGATGCCCAGGGAAACTTTAGGTATCCCCAAACTCTAACAACCAGAGGATTAATATGTTTGGCAAAGTAGAGGACCTCAAGATCCTACTTCAGCACTAAAGGCCTTGACCTTTTTGACTGGTCAGTGCCTAGGCTGTCCACGTTTTAATCTTCTATCAACCCTGACTACCTATTTCATCATATTCCCTGAATGATCATCTTTGGCCCATCCACTGAACTCTGCTTGAGAGTTCAGCTCTGCCCAAGTTTCCCAGATAAAACGTACTGACCTCAGAGAGTGGATATTTGAATAGATCCCACCATGAAATGGCAGGGCCAAAGGCAGCAAGCCTCCAGGTCGTGCCTCTGTTCTAGTCTCCTGCTCTTCAGGAACCCTGGCTTCCAAGTACTCTGTTCCTTATGGCTGAGCTTCCCAAGGTTCGGTCCCCTGGCCTTACTTAGTGATCTAATTACTGCCTCTGGATCCAGAGCCTTGCTTTGTACTTGACAATCTTTTCTCATTCATTCCACCAACATGCATTTCTGCCTTGTGCCAGCCCCATGTTAGGCATGGAGAGTCCTAAAAGAAACATGTCCTATCTGTTCCAGTCAGTCTGCTAGAGGAGACATGGGAGATAACATGTAATAGCAAACCTAGATCTCTGCTGTGGGCAAGCCACTCTTCACCCAATAAAACAGTGCCGCTCTTTTCCTCCCTGGCTGCCTAAGGATATACCATCATGAATAACACAGTAATTACCCGGACCAGGAAATTCATGACCAACCAACTACTTGAAAGGAAACAAATGGTCACTGATGTCCTTCACCTCGGGAAGGCAACAGTACTTAAGATAGAAATTCGGGAAAACCTAGCGAAGATGGACAAGACCACACT